GAAGAGGAGGGGTTGGTCAACAGTATCAAAAGCCGCAGACAGGTCAAGTAGTAAGAGTATGGAGTAGTGGCCATTGGTTTTAGCAGTTAGTGAATCATTAGTGAGTTTTAGTAGGGTAGTTTCAGTGGAGTGGAGTGAGCGAAAGCCGGACTGTAAAGGGTCAAGAAGGTTGTTGTCGGTGAGGTGGGAGCTCAGGCGATTGTAGACTAGGCATTCTAAGAGTTTAGAGGTAAACAGGAGCAGGGAGATGGGTCTTAAGTTGTTCAGATTGGTGGGGTCCAGTGAAGGCTTTTTAAGTATGGGAGTGATTTTCGCATGCTTTAGAGGGGAGGGGAAGGCACCAGTAGAGAGGGAGAGATTGAAGATGTGAGTGAGGGAGCATAGAATGGAAGAAGAGGGTGACCGTAGTAGTTGTGAGGATACAAGATCCAGGGGGCAGGTGGTGAGACGGGCTTTTGAGAAAACTTTAGTGACCTCTTCAGTAGTAGCAAGGTCAAAAGAGGAAAGTGTTGAGGGAGGTTTAGCATAAAGTATGCTAAGTGGGATAGATATCTGTAGTGGTGATGCCCCCCACGAATTGCATCAATCTTGTTTTTGAAATGATTGGCAATCTCGTATGCAGTGAGTTATTGGGTGGAGGTGGAGAAAGTAGAAAATTAATAGAGAAAGAGACAACGAGGACTGGATGACAAGGTATTAATAAGAATGACCAAGTAGGCTTGTTTGGCAGCATGGAGGGAGGAATTGTATGTTAAGAAAGCAGATTTATATAGGGTGAAAGCTTGTTGGGATTTGGTTTTACGCCACAATCGCTCCAGTGCATGACTGTCTCTTTAAGATTTCTGGTGTGGTCAGTCTGCCAAGGTTGTAATGGTCGGGGCCTGATACTTCGTGTAGTTAGAGGGGCAAGTGAGTCTAGTGTGGATGGAAGCGAACTGTTGTAGACAGAAGTGTCCAGGTCAGGGCAGGACAAGTTACATATTCTGTCATAGAGGCAGTCAGTTGCAGAGTGGAGAAGAGAAGGCTTAAAGTTGTGAAGGTTTCTTCAGGTAATTGTTTGCTGCTTGGATGGATAGGTGTTTGAAGATGAGGACACTGTGAAGGTGATGCGATCAGAGAGAGGAAAGGGGGTGTTTGTGAGGTTGTAGGGAGTGCAAAGGTGGGAGAAAACAAGGTCTAATGCATTCCCAAAACGTCTCAACTATGGGGTTTACCACCACGCAAACTGCAAATGTAAACAAGCCCTACTGTCCTGAGCCCCCCCTATAAGGTTGCTTTCACACTGATTCACTGCAGTTTACCTGCACCATGGATGCAGTTCGGTGCACCTGCGGCTTTTCTGTGGGTTAGCTGCACTTTGCCATAGACTTCTATTACATCTTATGGGTGTGGTGCACTTTCTAAAAGCGCACCAAAATCCTGCCTGCACTTTCAGAAAGCACACCAAGCCCACAGTTTATTATAGAAGTCTATGGTTCAATGCAGCTAGCCTGCAGGAAAGCTGCACCTGCGGATAAATGTGAAAGCAGCCTAATAGTTGTTAACCCTTTTTTAGGTGCTAATACGCCCATTGCAAAAGTGCAGCGTATGTGATGTTTATTACACTGACTACCTTTTCCTCTTCCAGCTTCAGCTGGCATTGCTCTCCATCTCCAGGCTGCTAGAAAGGTCCCAGGTAAAGAGCACTTGGTATCACTCTGCCTGGGACAGGAGCCAGTGCCACAGAGGAAGCATCGGCTTATGTGGCTTCTGCTCTCTACGCAGCTGTCTGCTTCCTCCATTGCTGACGCCGCTCAGTGCACTTTGATGCTCTGGGTTGGTGGGTTATATAGTTAGTCTGGCTGAAAAAAAGACAACGTACATCTAGTTCAACCATAAAAAAAAAAAAAAAAAATTTATAATCCTATTCCCACAGTTGATCCAGAGGAAGACAAAAAAAAACCCCAGCAAAGCATGATCCAAGTTGCTCCTCTAGGGGAAAAAATTCCTTCCTGATCCCCCCGAGAGGCAATCGGATATTCCCTGGATCAACTTTACGTATAACGTTAGTATCCAGTTATATTCTGTGTATCTATGAAATAATCCAGGACTTTTTAAAGCAATCCACTGAGCTGGCCAGAACCAACTCTTGAGGGAGTCTATTCCACATTTTCACAGCTCTTACTGTGAAGAAACCTTTTCGTATTTGGAGATTAAATTTATTTTCCTCCAGACATAAAGAGTGCCCCCTTGTCCTCTGTGATGACCTCAGGGTGAATAACTCTACACCGAGTTCACTATATGAACCACTGATGTATTTATACATGGAGATCATATCCCCCCCCCCTTATGTATTATACATGGAGATCATATCCCCCCTTATGTATTATACATAGTGATCATATCCCCCCTTATGTATTATACATGGAGATCATATCCCCCCTTATGTATTATACATGGAGATCATATCCCCCCTTATGTATTATACATATTGATCTTATCCCCCCTTATGTATTATACATGGAGATCATATCCCCCCCTTATGTATTATACATGGAGATCATATCCCCCCTTATGTATTATACATGGAGATCACATCCCCCCCTTATGTATTATACATGGAGATCACATCCCCCTTATGTATTATACATGGAGATCATATCCCCCCTTATGTATTATACATGGAGATCATATCCCCCCTTATGTATTATACATGGAGATCATATCCCCCCTTATGTATTATACATGGAGATCATATCCCCCCCTTATGTATTATACATGGTGATCATATCCCCCCTTATGTATTATACATGGAGATCATATCCCCCCTTATGTATTATACATGGAGATCATATCCCCCCTTATGTATTATACATAGTGATCATATCCCCCTTATGTATTATACATGGAGATCATATCCCCCCCTTATGTATTATACATGGAGATCATATCCCCCCTTATGTATTATACATGGAGATCATATCCCCCCTTATGTATTATACATGGTGATCATATCCCCCCCTTATGTATTATATATGGAGATCATATCCCCCTTATGTATTATACATGGTGATCATATCCCCCCCTTATGTATTATATATGGAGATCATATCCCCCTTATGTATTATACATAGTGATCATATCCCCCTTATGTATTATACATGGTGATCATATCCCCCCTTATGTATTATACATGGTGATCATATCCCCCCCTTATGTATTATACATAGTGATCATATCCCCCTTATGTATTATACATGGAGATCATATCCCCCCTTATGTATTATATATATGGAGATCATATCCCCCTTATGTATTATACATGGAGATCATATCCCCCCTTATGTATTATACATGGAGATCATATCCCCCCTTATGTATTATACATGGAGATCATATCCCCCCTTATGTATTATACATGGAGATCATATCCCCCCTTATGTATTATACATGGAGATCATATCCCCCCTTATGTATTATACATGGAGATCATATCCCCCCTTATGTATTATACATGGAGATCATATCCCCCCTTATGTATTGTATATGGAGATCATATAACCCCCCTTATGTATTATACATGGAGTTCATATCATATCCCCCCCTTATATATTATACATGGAGATCATATCCCCCTTATGTATTATACATGGAGATCATATCCCCCTTATGTATTATACATGGAGATCATATCCCCCCTTATGTATTATACATGGAGATCATATCCCCCCTTATGTATTATACATGGAGATCATATCCCCCCTTATGTATTATACATGGAGATCATATCCCCCCTTAATCTCCTCTTCTCAAGAGAGAATAAATTCAGTTCCTCTAATCTTTCCTCATAGCTGAGCTCCTCCATGCCTCTTCTCAGTTTGGTTGCCCTTCTCTGCACTTTCTCCAGTTCCATAATATACTTTTTGTGAATTGGTGTCCAAAACTGAACTGCATATTCCAGATGAGGTATTACTAATGATTTGTACCGGGGGAAATGATATCTCTCTCTCTCTGGAGTCTATACCTCTTCTAATACAAGAGAGGATTTTTCTCGCTTTAGAAACCGCAGCTTGGCATTGCATGCCATTATTAAGCTTGTGATCTACCAGAACTCCCAGATCCTTCTCCACCATTGATTCCCCCAGTTGTACCCCCCCCCCAGTATGTATGATGCATGCATATTCTTAGCCCCCCAAGTTCAGAACCTTACATTTATCAACATTAAACCTCATCTGCCACATAGTTTCCCAATTAAACAGTACATGGAGGTTGGCTTATAAATTGGGGACATCCTGTAAGGACATTATTCCACGGCACAGCTTGGTGTCATCTGCAAAGACTGAAATGGGATTTTTAATCCCAGACCCTATATCGTTATTAATATATTAAAAAGTAAGGGTCCCAACACTGAACCACTAACACCCCAGATTATGATCAACAGGTTGCTGACCCAAGGCATGCAGTTCCCTGATTTGAGGGCCACATCAGAGGGCTCCAAGGGCCACAGGTTGAGCACTATTGTTTTAAACCAAAGTATACTAGACAGAAAAACCTATCCAACACCTCACCACCAAAAAAAATTTCATCAACCAAGTACATCCACCCAGTAAAGGAATCCATGGCTCACTCTAAATAATGCATGACATCCCAAAAAATGGTGCCTTAGTGTTCAGTAGGGCAGCGCATTGCACCTTTTATGGGCCAGCCCTTCCTAAGTCTCCTGCCGTCCCACGGCTCCGCCTATCATCCATGCAGTTGTATGGACAGTATTAGCAGGCCATTCCCTCCTGCAATGTCACCTCCAGCAGCTACCAGTTTTGGTAGTGGACATCCGGTAAGATGCAGTATATCACGTTTCTTCTTGGGTATAATAATTTAGGAGCAAGACATAAGTCAGCAGACTGAAATTGCCTTTTGAGATGAGAATAATATATTAAATTTTGTATGAGATTTTGGCGATTGGGTTTACATATGCTATAACACATGGATGACAATCTCCTTTCTATTCTTTCTATTTTTAGCCTACCAAAATCCCTGGAGAAGCATGACAAGAATGTCTACTTCCTAACCAACAAAATTGCGGAATCCCTGGGTGGCAGTGGATACAGCGTGGAGAGACTGTCTGTCACCTATGTGCCCCAAGTGACAGGTAAGACTTGTTCCTGCTTCAGTGTTCAATGGATAAGTGTACAAATGTATCCAGGTAAAACACTGACTAGCCACATACTCTATCACATTTTCAGTTTTAGAAAATCTACAGTGCCTTCCGAGAATACAAACTTTTGTAGCGTTTCAATGCCTACAGACTAAGCATAAGCAAAGAGAATAGCTTGCGGATTAGATTACCTTCCTTTAATATTTTAAACTGTAAGGTATGCTAGTAGAGTATTAGGTGGTATAAGATCACGGTAATGGAGTATTTGGAGGGATTGGGCACACAGCTAGACTTGAGTTTTTAAAATCTTTTGCTGAGTTGAATTAGAATTTAAAATGGTTATTTCCCATCTTTCCTCATTTCCCTTTCACTACTTTTTTATTCTCTGTTGATTGTTTTTTGCTATGGCCTTTGTGGCCAGTGCTTGGAATTGCCAGACCCCGTGTTCTCCCATTCCCCTAAATGTTTTCTAATGTCTAATGACTACGGAGTTGTATCAACCCCCCCCCCCCCCCATGTTTTTTTTACTATCTTTGCAATCAGGTTATATGACCCCTCAGTAGACCATTGATGAAGATTTCCAAGTTTAGTTATACCCTAGGTAGGGATGCACCGAAATTTTGGTGGCCGAAACGTTTCAGCCGAAATGAAAAAAAAAAAAAAACCGATACAGGTGCCAAAAAAAAAGCCCACTGCCACTGCTGCCTATCCGCCACTCGGTAGTTCTTAGCCTTACCTGAGAAACCACTGAACAATCCCGGCAGCTGGGCATAGAGATGAGTGAAGGATAGATGGCCTTCACTTATCTCTATGCCCTTAGAGGACCGGAGTGATGTCACTACTTCTTCCGGCCATTTTTTTTTTTTTTTTTTTTTAAGTACTAGATCAATGCTTTTTTTGATCCAATGCTTTACATTGCAGAGGTGAGATGTGGGGTCTTATTGACGCCATAACTCTCCATAAAGAGGATCGGTCACTAATTATGTCTTAAAGGTTGCAGACCCCTGGTCTAGATCAATATCCAATGCTTTACATTGCTATCACAAGGGATGCATGCATTTCTTGTGAGAAGAATAAAAGTGATTAAAACATTTTTTTTTAAAGGGACAGTGCAAAAAAAAAAAAACATTAAATACATATTTTTTTTAATTTTAAAGTGCCCCGTCCCCCCGTGCTAGCATGTAGTGGTGAACGCATACGTAGGCCACGCCCACTTATTTAAATGGTGTTCAAACCACACGTGTGAGGCATCTCCACGAACGTCAGAGCAAGAGCAATATTTCTCGCACTAGACCTCCTCTGTAATTTTACACTGCTTTTAAAGTGCCCCATCCCCCCGTGCTAGCATGTAGTGGTGAACGCATACGTAGGCCATGCCCACTTATTTAAATTGTGTTCAGACCACAAATGTGAGGCATCTCCACGAACGTTAGAGCAAGAGCAATAATTCTCGCACTAGACCTCCTCTGTAACTTTGCACTGCTAAGCTGCAGAAATCTTTATATGTTGGTTTTTTTTTAATCAAAGTGTATTTTTTTTCCAAAAAATATATATTCATTTTTAAAAACTGTACATTTCGATTTCGGCATTTTGAATTTTTGGTTTCGGCACCAGAATTTTCATTTCGGTGCACCACTAACCCTAGGCCATTTGATATCTATGTTCTAAAATATATGTCTTAATAACCAAGCACATGAGACTAAATATTGTTTCTTTGAACATTGTTTGTCATGTATCGTTAAAGACCTCATGTCTTATCTTTTCAATAAAGCTCTTTTGGTACCAGCATTAAAAAAAATGGTTAACCGTCCCAGGAGGATAAAACTTCTTTCTGTAGATATTACAAATCCAGACTAGAGCCAGTAAACCACATTTAGATTCTATTCACACTGGCATTATAGGGAGGCTGAGCAGGCGGTTCTGACCCATGCCGAACGAAAGGGTTATTACAGTTAAGGGGACAACAAAAAAAATTGGGATTCTCTTTTACTTTCAATGGTAATAGTAAACAGGACAAGTAGAGACAGTGAATCTCCCCAAGGGGGACACAGACAGCCATGACAACCTTAGAGGTGATCTAATCCCTTTCCAGCCTGTCCAAAACTGAAGAAAAAGTTTGCCTTTAGTTATACTTTTAAGTATTGGGTTTGCATATTAGCTGCTTTCCTCTGATTTTAAACTTCAGACTGATCTGGATATGTTATGTCAACAATTTTGTTTCAGCCTTTGAAGCTCGGAGGACTGCCAATATGCAAATGATCAAATTTTTTTATGTGGGGCAGCGGGAGTTATTTTAAGTCTGCTCCTGCTCATAAGATGATGGTGTGTCAGAGCCATGCTGTGTCTGCCCGCCCTTTTACAGGATAATTGGGAGTCACAGAGAGCCATGCTGTGCCTGTGCCCACCCCCCCCTTTTTTTTTTAAAAGATCATTACTGCTGTGTGTCCCCTTGTCCCCACCACTAAGCTATTGCATGCAGAGGAGCCGTTGTCACACGTAGTTTGTATAGGCAGGCTGTTGATGATGTTGTAGGCATGGGGACCACATAAACCAAATGAATGTTATCACATAAAGGAATGTTTTGTTATGTGGCTGGTTCAGATGTAAATAGTGTCCTGTAAAGTCCTATAATTCATTGATTTTGTTATTTATGCTCACTTTTAACCAATTGCCTGCTTTTTAGTTAGACTGTAGTTGTTCCTTTGTAACTATAAGGATATATCTTTGCATATATTTGTATTTTGCAGTTTCACCTTTTGTACGCCTTATTACCCTTCAGCAATGACCAGGCATTTAAGGGGGACTGTTCCACTCAAAAACAATATTTTTATTATAGGAGGAGCTTATCAGGTTGAGTTCTCTATTGGCTTCTAACATCTCATTGGGGTTCCATCAATGAAAGATCTGTATCATAGTTCATATCTATGTTCATACCAGGGGCGGACTGACAACTCATGGGGCCCCGGCCAATAGGGGATCATGGGGCCCCTGTGTCCTTGGCCAAACTCAAAAAAGCCTATGAAAAAGGTAACAGGGGCATCTCATGGGGCCCCCTACTGACCCCGGGCCCTCGGGCAGTGCCCGAGTTTCCAAATGGTCAGTCCGCCCCTGGTTCATACCCATTTTCAAGTCTCACTACTCATTCTACAACAGACTGGTTCTGACCATTTCTTTTCCTCCTGCTGTAACATAAAATAGAATAGCAAATTCCCACAGGAGGAGTGAGATACACTTGTGATTGCCATGCATGTGTCTAGGTCTCGAATGCTTATGTTTCACACCCTAATTGACATAGGAATCCATTATGTGATTAAATTCTATGCCATCTAACAATTAGTTAAATATCAGTTTTGTGTGGACAGACCTGTAATTCCACAGGATTTTTGTTTTATCAAACTATTTTCTCCACTTTTCAATGTAGCTTTCTTTCCATCAGTCAAAAAAGTACGTAAAAGTCCATGCCGATCAAAAGGTAATCCGGCTGTGCCTCCTAGACTGAATTAGCGTAGTCCTTTCTCCCGTTGTAACATGAATTTAAAGTTTTGTGTTGGCTTATGTAGTGCATCAAGACTAGTATTCTGCAGAGAACAGTACTAATCTAGTTCTGTAGTCACTAAGGAGTTGTAGTTTGTCTAGAGTGGTAGAAAATAGCTTTTATATATTTGTGCTTATTGCCTTAAGAAATCAAACTGAACCCGGGCAAATCCCCAAATACAAAGTTGAATCTATTTGTTATCTGTTATACCTGCTATGGAATTGGAAATGTTGTGCAACCAGTCTTGTGATTAATAAAGCCATGTCGCATTGTCTAGCCAAGCAACTGGGAAGCCTGTTTCCTATTTCAGCTTTACAGCTTCTTGTGTCACCTCTCCACTATTTGTAGTACGTTGACATGTTCATTGGCATGTTATTCTAGTAGTGTTTAAACCTAGTCTTAAAGTAATTATAAAGGGTAATTTTTTTTTTAATAACATGTCATACTTGCCTGCTCTGTGTAATGGTTTTGCACAGAGCAGCCTCGATCCTTCTCTTCCCAGGTCCCCTGCTGGAACTCCTCCCCCTGCTGAATTGCCCCATATCAAGCCACTTGGTATGGAGACTGTCATGCGTCCTCGCCCCCGAGCCCCTCTCTGTGTGTCCATAAGACAAACAGAGCTAAGCTTGGCCCTTCCCCTGCTCCCTCCTCACTGGCTGTGATTGGCAGCACCAGGAGGCAAAGGATCCCACTGCTCTATCTGAGCCTATTAGGAGGCAGAGAGATTCGGGAGAGCCACTGCTCTTATGCACATCGCTGGATCGCGATCAGGCTCAGGTAAGTATTTAGGGAGGGCTGCAGGGGATGGGGGGGGGGGGGGTACGAGTTACATACTGAAGGTTTTTTTTTTTACTCTCATTCATGAAGGTAAAAAACCTTTGGCCTTTAGAACCACTTTAACAAGTGTTTTTCCTTTTTAGTAGCACAATTTAATATTTCTGGTTCCTTAAACCTTATGTTGCCCCAAAGACTCTTTTTCTTAAATGTAGATCACAGGGTACTTCGTGACTATCTGAATGCTACCACATTCATGTTAATAGGACACTGGCTTAAAACAGAGGTAGGAATTCGCCGCCCAGGCATAATCCATCCAAGCTCAGCTTAACCTCAGTTTTTAGGTGATGGATTTGCTTGCAGATGTCTCTCGGAAGATCTCCTTTTGTGGCCTTTAGTTCCATATTTTTACCTATTCTGAACACCCCTGCTAGGGTAAGAAAGGGCTTCATCTAGTTGCCTATGGAATGGAAGAGCAGGCACAACCTATTATGTTGTCAGTTGGCACAGAATCCTGTGGCCAGCGATCTCTGGTGTACTATGTATCCAGTGACATCGCTGACAGGGTGCTTTACATATCAAGTGCAACAATCCCCCTAGGGGGAGTTGAGTGCCTCAAGGCCCAGCCGGGTCATGAGTGAAGATTGAGCTGTCTGGTCCTGCTGCATGGACTGGCATGCACCCC